AAAGGCAAACTTTGTTAGCCTAAAGTATACACTCGGATGTAATTTAAAACATACCAAAATTTCAGCATATTTAATAGTTTACTTTCCAACTAAAGCAGGGGTGTCAAACTCAATTTCACCGAGGGCCACTTCAGCATATTGGCCACCCTCAAAGGGCCACATTGACGGTACAAATCAGGAGTGCCCAGCTGCAGTCCTTCAGACTGCAACTTTTAGATGCATCCCTGCTAAAACACACCCCAGACAAAAGGTTGACTTCCCTCATTAGCAGCAACTCAGTTCTGTAGAGCCTTATAATGAGTAAATGATCCAGGTGTGTTAGAGAAGGAACTAAAGTTGCAGATGGTAGCTCTGGAAAACTAGACTTGGGCACCCCTAGCATAAAATGTATGAAAATACAATGTTAAAAATAAATTGAACACCTCATATTGTTAAATAACTCTTTGGAGCTTCTGGTTAGGAAACGCATTTGAAACCTTTGTTTGAAATGGCGCGTTAAATTCAAGTTTCCATTACAGACCAGAGAAAACTAAAGAGAATGCAACATTGTGTTAATCCACTTGAGGAGCCGGCAGTTTATCTTGAGGAAATAAATGACGATGCAAAAGTTAATTAGATTGTAACATGCGCAGTCTGCTGCTCAACCACTGCGGAGGCAGTTACGTTACGCCACTGCGAAGAATTAAAAACCGCTGGGAGTAACTCATCCAGCGGATTTAACAAATGGAGCCTTCTGGGTTCATGTTACCCAGGAGAGCGGCGATCTGGAGGAGCTGCAGACGTGACATCTGTCCGTTTCGGAGAAGCGAAAAAAAAAATAAATAAAATCCTTAAAGCGCACACCGGACCCCGCAGGGTAAAACACTCAGAGTTCAGTTGATATGTTTGTATCAGACAGATCCAACTGACTGATGAATTAGCGCAGGTTTTTCTGCAGATTTGAACTGGGAGGAAGGTTCAGACCCCAGCGGGTGAAGTGATGCTAATTTAAGTGAAGTAGCTTAATTTAATTTATTAAAAGTTATTGGGGCCACAGTCACTGGTTTTTGTCACTACGAGCAAAATGTAGATACATTTATCTGCTTAATTTGTGATGGGATCTGGATTCACGGTGAATATTAACTAAACCGCATAAAATGCGACTAAATAGCCGATGTTAATATGATTATAATTTCACGGATAAAAATAGTACAGGGCCAATTTTTTTTTTTTATGTTGTCGGTCAAGATAACGGATAACAAAAAAAGTCTGCCGCCCTGACACCAACTAACACATCTTCATTCACAGTCTTACTTGTAGATCGATTTTTCTTTTCTTGGACGTTTTGATGTTAGCTTGTCGAAGTCTCAGTTTTATTCGCTGGTAAAATCAATAAGCAGCTTAAGGTGACTCTGCTGCTCTCTAGTGGCGAGAAGCCGTAATGTTGGCTGGTAACAATCGGAATGCATTATGGAAGATGTAGTTTGTCGTCAATTCGTGCTCAAACCTATTTTAAGTCAATCATGGACCTATAAAACGCTGGGGGGCCACATAAAATGACATGGCGGGCCACATGTGGCCCACGGGCCTTGAGTTTGACACATGTGAACTAAAGTGTTAAGTGAATTTTTATAAAAATTCTATGTTGAGCATATGTTTTAAAATATACACAAAACATTTTTAAAAGCATATTGTTTTTTTGGCATACTTGAGTAAAGTATACTTAAAATGTACTTGCACAAATATAAGTATGTTTGAAATATATGAAAGTTTTTTTTCCACTAGGGCATGCATCCTTAGATTTTCACATTTCTTGTCTAATGCATTACCAAGACAAAATCAAGATCAATTTGCTTATTTCATAACATTCTTCATAATCAGCAGCCTTCTCTCCTGTGGTCTGTTTAAAAGGCTCAGATCAACACAGCCCTCCAGCTCTGTCAGCAGCAGAAACCCCTCACAGCAGCTTTATACCCATCAGGGAAAACATTGACTACATTTCCTTTGCATTGCCCTCACATGACGACAATAATATAGTATGATCAGATTAAATATTATATTCTTGATTAATATGAATTGTTGCTATGTTGTTGTACATTGTTTTAAGATATTGTTCAATCTGCCTCTTTTTAACTTTGAGCCCCGGCCCTTCCAAAGGTCTCTGCACGGCCCTGATGTTCTATGACTTTTTATTTTTATGATGTAAAGCACCTTGAACTGCTTTGTTGCTGAAATGTGCTATACAAAGAAATTTGATTTGATTTATAAGATTTAATGTGATGTGCTTTGCTGCGACATCAAGTGTCAATAATTGGAACTAATGTAAATAAATGTAAAAAGTATAAAACATAAAATTGCCTGACGTGTAGCCTTTTGAATGGTTTGTTCTGTTTTTCAGATGAAGGGGATGATGGAACGAGCAGGGAACAGCCATCTGCTGACTCTCTTGTCGTACCCAAACGCAGGTCACTTGATCGAACCGCCATACATGCCTCATGCCAGAGTGAGTCTCTTCAGAGAAATACAGTCACGTCAGAAGCGTAGGTTTGACTTCTCATTCCAAACTCACTCTGCTTCTCTGTTCCAAGTGTCACTGTCATTGAACTGATGGCTGCCTTTTCTGTTTGCAGTGATGGTTCTTTGGGGAGGACAGACCCTGGAACATTCTCGGGCTCAGGAGGACGCCTGGAGGAAACTGTTGGTCTTTCTGAGGAAGAATCTGTATAGCGGTGTGAAGAGCGGATCTTCGTCACTTTCCAACCTTTAACAAATGACCAGCGTTTGTTGAATTGAACAGTTGAAGTACATATTTTCTCCTCTGGCAAATAATGGAAATTATTTTAGGAGCTAAATAGATGCTCAAGTGAAAAAACTTTTGATTGTTGATTATGAATGAACCGGTTTTATACAACTTGGATCCATTAGTCAAAATTTTGTTTTACATAATACATACTGTAAAATAAGAGTTTTAATAAAAATAAAGAACAAATCAAGCCTCCTTTTAGGCGAGCTCATATCGTGGCAGTGATAGCAGCACTTAGAGTGTCAGCTGCCATAACCTGCCCCGGCAGCGGCTGAACCTGCCACAGCTTCTGTGTAGCAAACAACTGAATGATTTTATTTTGAACAAAAATAAATAAATAAATAAAAGGCTACAACGTAATACAGCCACCCAACACTGATTCGGTGACATATACCACAGCTTCTGTGTCAGGAAGCTGTGGTATATGTCACCATATACCAGGGGAAAAAAAATAACCGATGGAGCAGGCTGCTATAGGGAAAAAATGTTCTTTTGCAACAGACATTTTCCATATTCATTTCTACTTCAATATGATAATGACCCTGAGGAGGGCTGATGCCTGAATGCTACAATTTCTCCCTATTGGTTGGTTAGCATCGAGTTATAACAGCCTCACAATATCAAAGTATCTTGGCATACTGAGGTTAATTAAAACTAGGTTAAGTGTATGAAGAAACTTAACCTGCAGACCCGTTGGAACCTAAAGAACCAGAAATCAGTGTCTCTTCATCCTCAATCATCTCCTGCGGCTGATATGGTGCAAAACATTTTGCTATGATTGATTAAGTTTTTTAATGTCATTTTAGTTGACTGTTGTGGTTTGATCATTTGCTTAAGATGTTGAGTTTGGATGATATTTAATAAATAATGAAAATGGAAAAGTCACAACATACCGAGCCTCCATGCAGTTATAACATGAAGTTGGATGATTTTTATAATACTCATAAAATTCACAATAAAATTGATAAAATAACCATTTCTAAAACCAACATAAGTTTGTTTTGAACAAAGATAATTGGCATTTTGAAGCAAACTTACCAGCTAACTGGTGAAAAAAAAACAACACTTTAGTGTATTTCAAACATACATTTTTGTAAGTACATTTTAAGCATACAAAGTATTAAGTGCACTACCTATAAATATATACAAAATATACTAAAAGCATATGTAGCACTACTTAATGTACTAAGGGACTGGATGGCATGTGATATCAGAAGACTAAATTCATCTACTGGAGCTGTTGTCAGTAATCAATAAAATACAAAAGAATAACTGCTTTTCAATACCTTAAAATACTTTCAATACTTTAAAATATTAAAGAAGGGAAAATTAAAGTGACCACCACAAGACACAAAGCATACATAAAACCCAATATATATATATATATATATATATATATACACACATACATACAATACTGCAGTAAATCTTCCATATAAATGTGCACAAGTCCTAAATTTCCCCACCGGTCAGTACAGTGTCTGACTGACACACATTTGAAAAGTCCATGGTTTCATTATCCAGATATCTCAAGTGAAAATGTCCAAGTGCAATTTGTTTCCAATGGAGAAGAGATGAATAATGGATTGTGTGTCTGTATGGTGAGATGGAGGGGGAATACTACAGACCATCAGCCTCCTACCAGACCAGTATGGAGTGAGTTTCAGGTTCTCCTGGCCCCAGCCAGTTCTCAGAAGCTCGCCATCCTTTAATCCTAAAAAGGGTCACCGGGCCTGTATTGACATAAACAGGACCAGTAAATTACCAGCCTGCTAGTTAACTAGACTTTTTTCAGTTATATACAGCAATAAATGCAATTATATGCACAATCAAATCTTTAAGACAAAATAAAGATATCACCATTTATCCAATTAGCTTAAACACATATATTGAATTTAAGGAGTTAGATTATGTGACAATTGATGATCAAACAATTAGCATTGGCTACCACCACCAACATAATGAACAAACAAAACATTGTGTTAATTACTCACCAATTCCATATATAGTTCAGTGCATGACAACTTCATGGCTCCAAGCTCACTGGGTATTCAGAGCTACATGATTTTTATATTGTGAGTTTTAAAAGTACATAATAAAGAGATGAACTGATTGTTTGGAAGCACAAACCTGTAGCTCCTTTGTCTCCAGCTCTCCCCCTCACACCTGACTGGGAAAGCTGTAGAAGGCCTGAATAACCGCTTCAGATGCAGTGATTGGCTGAATGCACTAGTGACTGACTGTCGTTCTAACCAATGGAGCAGCAAAGGTGGGATTAAGGGCAGTTTTTACCCTGGGTTACACATCCATCCATCCATCCATTTTCTGAACACCCTTGTCCCTCAGTGGGGTCGGGAGGGGTGCTGGTGCCTATCTCCAGCTAACGTTCCGGGCGAGAGGCGGGGTACATCCTGGACAGGTCGCCAGTCTGTCGCAGCTGGGTTACACATGCTTGTACCAATTTTGACATCACAACTTCAAACACACTTAAAGATAATTGTACCAAAATACACTTTTAAGAAATATATTAAATAAATTTCAAACATTGAGACAATACATGACCACAACATTACATAAATATAATAAAGAGAGTACATAAAGAGCATGTTTTAATAGCTTTGGTATTGGTGGCATTTTCAACAGTTCTGATATATTGTTTGACCTCATTTTCAAAAATAGAAAGAAGTGGTTTTTGATTAGCATAATGGCATTTGTGAATGTGCCATTTGGCTAAGAATATAATAAGATTAATAATATTAAAATGTTTGTTTTTTGTTGTTGTTGTTATTGGGTAGTCAGTGAGGCCAAAGACAAAGGGAGAAGTATGGTTCAGTGGAAGTACAAATCAAAGAGCATACTTTTCCAAAATTGAACAGAAAAGGGGCAAGACCAAAATAAATGAAACACATCTTCTGGATTTCCTTCACAAAGAGCAGATAATATCCTGTTACGACTGGTGTCGTCATCTTAATTAAGCAAATATGAGTGTGCAGGTGCCCGTCTCTGATTGATTCCCAGAAGAACGGAGACGTTCAATTGGCGGCCTCCTGGAGGTGACGGACTTCCTGCCATCCATCCTCAGCTCATCTCAACAGAGGAGGACCTCGCTGCAGCAAACCGAAAGGGGCGGGGACAGACCACTGTCAGTCTCATACCTTATTTGGAAATGGGACCATTGTACTCCGGAAGTGAAAGGGGGCGCTATTTCCTATATCATTCGCGGTCTTCCTTCCGTTTTTCTTTTCTTTTTAAATCTGTGATATATTTTCACCTTTAGGAAGGAGTTTCACTCTCAGAATGTATGTGAACTTCTCTCTCTTATTTACTTCAGCGTAGCTCACAGTTTTTAACAAATTCTGTAGCTTTGTGTGTACTTCTAAACCTGCTCCGTAGTCGCATCTTTTCGGGCCTGCTACTGCCTCTAGTGGCATGGGGCTGGTAACACAACTAATATAATTACATCACTAAATCAGAATACCACAAAGTCTTTATTATTTCCTATTAATTTCGGCATCACTGGCAAAAGATAAAATATAATTTGTCTTTTGTCAGTAAACGATAAAAGATAAATTATCTTACAAAACATTTTTTTTTTCATTTTCTTAAGAATGTACAGCTAATTAAATGACAATACTTTTATACATTATAAATAATATCTACAGCTCTCCATCAATTATAGGAGGAACCAAGGAAATAAGGAGACCTGAAAAACAACATGATCAACTATAAGAAAAATACCATTTGCAATGTATACGTGAGAAATTTAATTGAGCAAAAGTCAATAACAAATGAATTAGGTACAGACGAATAACCAGGGTTGTTAAACAGATACAAGCAAAAATTCACAGTTTTGTTTTTACGATGCCATGTATATTATTCTGAGACTTTTTGTTGGTAGGTAGAGTCTTATATATAGGAAAAAGTAAGATGAAATTGTTTAATCTAATAAGGTGGAAATTTTCCTTCAACTCTAAAACGATAAATTATATTCATAGAATCTCATTATCAACAATTTGTGAATAAAGCAAAATACATAGCATGCAATAAGTATTGCATGCAATACTAAATACTTAGTATTAAATGGGTAACACTTTATTTGAAGGGGTATGAATAAGACTGACATCATAAACATGACATAACACCTGTCATGAACATCAGTAAGTTTTCATGAATATTTATGACTGTTGTCATAAAGTGTAATTCGGTAAATCATGATACTTTTAATACAAATTTGACATTATTCAAAATGTCTTTATTACAACTTGACATTAACTAAGAATCATGTCATAAATATGTCATAATAGTAGTCATAATGATTTAATTCTTATTACACAATCAAAAGCTTTAACAAAACAGCAATTAATATTCCCACTACCTGAAATAAAGCGAAACAAGTAGGACCAACAATAAATATTTCATTAAGCTTTATTACACTGTCAAATGATTTAATAACAGTCAATAACAATTTATTTTACATCAAGTAAAGTGGAACAAGAAGCACCAGTTATGAAAATGTCATTAAGTGTTATTGCAGTGTCAAATGCTATGCTAACAGAGTCACTGATATTAAGTCTTACCTCAAATGAAGTGNAATAAAGAGATAAAAGACTGAAAATCCACACCAACTACTACAAAAAAAGGGAATTATTATAGCGTACATTCGTCTTTGCTGTGCCCCTGGTTTCTGTGCTGCTTCTGTCCTGACGACTGCTTCCAGCTGTGCAGATCCTTTCGTCCGTCCCTGCTCCAACCGTCGGCCTGCGACTCGCGCAGCAGCTCCACCTCCTCGGCCGTTTGACTCTCCAGCATCCCCGCAGCGTACGCAGGCAGCCCCGTCGCCCTGGCCCTGTCCCAGCAGGGGGCGTAGCGGGGCACCTGGGCGTCAGACTGGGGCAGCAGCTTGCGCTCGCCCTGCTGGCTGTAACAGAGGAGCTTTGCCCCCCGTCTGGCGCAGCCGCTGGAGGAGAGCGAGTCTTTGTTCTGGGCGAACTGGATGATGCGGTTCAGCTTCTGGCTGAGGGCCAGCTTCATGCCCTCATAGGCACTTCTGGAGACCTTGGAGTGGGACAGCTTCTGATTGGCAATGAGGTGGCATTTCTCAAAGCAGTCTCTGTGGCCACGCAGCGACTTCGAGTGCAGCAAGGAGGCCGAGGTGACGCCTGCGTTAGAAGCGGGCAAAAACAAAGAGAGTTAACGCCACAGCTAATAAAAAAAAAAAAAAAAACTGATTTATGCTTTCTAACTTTATGGTTTATAACATCCCTCAGACAGGAAGTAGAGAACCTGTAAAACAAACTGGAAGTAAAATGGGTCGCCTTTATAAACCGAGGGAAGATGAAGGTGAAAATCACTTGTGTGTGTGTGTGTGTTTGAATCTACAGAGAGAAGTGTGTGACGAACAGCAGAGTGAGTGGTTGCTTTCTTCGCATGGCCTACATTTCTCAGCAGGTAGAGGGTACACGATGTAGGCCGACTTGAGGAGATTAGTCACTGATCTTTAAACTGTTACAGGAGATCACCGCGGCACGCTTAGCTTGTGCTTCAAGTGGCCATGGCGGCTGTGGCCCCACAAAGCAAAATACAGTCAAAACTGGACGCAGCACCGTTCAAAATTATACTCCAAACAGGTCAAAACATGAGAATCTGCCACCAGATGCAGTGGAAAACTGTCTCTTGATGTTTTAGTGTGCCGTTTCATTAGCAGTAAAGTGTCTCTAAAACATCCATAAAATGTTTACCAATGAGCTAAAATAAAATTCAGACCTGAATCTGCCTCATTTCCACTTACAGCTAAAGGACAATATCAAACTAGATTAAGCAAATTAGGTCCAAGTCTCTCCGGGTCATCCGTCTCCACCAGGATTAGACAGCCCAGATTTCTGCATTTCTTAGGAAATGCAGAAATCATAAGTAAAATGACACACAATTACATTCATGTTTCTCCTCTTGCTTGCAGTTTAAATGTTACATTTAAAACTGGAGCTCAGGGTTCTTGAAACTCAGTGCTTATGATGCATAGAATCACATATCTAAGTCTAAACTATGTTACAGAGAGTAAACATAATAAAAACATGCTTTATCTGTGGTATTGTTCATTAAGATGGCACATTTCTAATGTATTAAAATTAAATACAATCGGTTCACTTAATGATATTATATTAGGGATTAGGTAATGCATTCATTAAGTACTTTTACTTTTAATACTTAAGTATTTTTAAAAGCCAATACTTTTTTACTTTTACTTAAGTACAAATGTTAATGTAGTTTTACTTTTACTTGAGTACATTTTTATCTGTGTATTTGTACTTTTACTTAAGTAAATTATTGAGTACTTTCTCCACCACTGGTAATAACTAGCTACAAGGTCTAAAACCAGACAGTAAATGTTTCATTTTCTCCTTAATTTTCTTAAGTAGTTTTTAAGTACTTGCAAATAGATTCAAAATGTGGTTTTCGTTTGGACCGTTAGCTTTAACGGCTCTCTTCCACAGCAGAGTTTTAGACCATTACACAACCGTGTGTTTGGGAATCTATTCTTAGCTTCTGCATATTTGTGCTTGGCCCAGAGTGCCTTGAAAGACAGATTTTTATTCTGTGGATTAGCCTTGTGAGGAAACCACATTACGTAATCCAAGTTGGTTGCAACTCTGGTCAAAGGATGTATAATAACGGCTGCAAGAGCTTTCAGTCAAACAGTGATACTAAGCTGATCAGTCACTGAAGCACATTTCCTACCTCTAGCTTTGTGACAGAAAATCATAACAATATTAAAAACAACAAAAAAAAAAAACATTGGCCCAAAACCAGGGCAGTGTGCAGCCAGCCAAAGACCTCACTCAGCGTAAGCAGCTTAGCACTGCTGCCTTTCATGGGCGCACACATTAAGCACAAACACACACACAGACTATTCGGTGGAGGTGAAGTCAACATTGTTGAGCTGGGACAAGCGGCGATAATACACACCACGGACCAATACGCTTGGGGTTTCTTTTCTCTGGTCTCTTGAGGGAGGAGTCAGACTTGCCAGAAGAGAAAGATGGAAAACATGCTTGGTTAAAGTCTGACAGAAACCTCTGAAACGTAAACAGCTGGTGTTATTGATCTGTTTCAGTCTGAAGGCAGCTGTGGCTGCGAGCTGAGTTAATTATTCTACAGCACTGGGATCAGTCAAGCAAGAACCGAACGAGCAAAGTCTATATAAGAGAAAAAAAAAAAAAACAAACAAAGAAAAGAGTCCCAAATCCCCACTCCTATTCTTAAAGCTTAAATATTACAGTTTCAAAGCCTTTACACAAAGATTTAAAACTATATTTTAATAGGGTCTAATTGCTTCTATTTCAAAATAGAAAAGCAGCAATTATTCACACTCTCGCTAATCTAACACAACACTGATTATTGCATTTACCTTCTCTGTAATATATAATTAGAAACTGAAAGGAGGCTAAATTTAGCAGTAGATTTCAAGTTCTAATTTCTGGAATCATTACGCTTTTACTGTTCTGTTCTTTGTAGAAAAACTCAAGTGAGTTGATGTTAACTGGTTCATTAGTCAAAAGCTGCTTGGGTAAAGGACAGGCATAGGCGTTTTCAGTCAGCTGAGTGGCAGCAACAAGTGGGGGAGGGGGACCTAATCTATGTTTCATAAAGCAACAGAAACCCCTGGTCACTCTGGTTCTTTACTGGGTGTTTCCTTAATCTTACATAATATTTCTTTAGTTTTGAGGATGCAGTTATTAAAAGACAGACAGTTTGGTTTTAGGGGTGTGCCGCTACAACTTTTTCATTTCTGCAACTCGGCTATCTCAGTGTGTGGGATACAAGCACTAGCAGATAGAAGTTCTGAGGCCGACTAAATGCCAGATGCAGGCCGATAGAATCCGATACGCCGTTTTTGGCTGATATCGGACCAGTTTCTGATATCAATATTGGATCGGGACAACCCCTGTTTGTCCCGATCCAATGTAACCATGAGCCTCAGGCATTTTAGATAAGAGAAAATGATCTGAAAGTGTTTAAAAGATGAAAGACAGCAAGCAAAAAGTGCCATCTTTGATCAATGGAATTTAAGAATTAAATTACAACCAACCAAAGCACTGTCATACTGTAGCCTTCTCCCCACTTTAAATTACTAAACAGATTCACTGTATTGTGGTTTCTTATGAAGAAACGCACAGTGGGCCTGTACATCATTAGTTTTCAAAACATTCACTTTGAAATGCCTTTTTTGAACAATCGGTAATACTTTATTTGAAGGGGGGTGAATAAGACTGACATGACACCGTCATAAACATGACATAACACATGTCATGAACATGAATAAGCCTTCATGAATATTTATGACTGTTATCATAAAGTGTCAATCGGTAAATTATGACAGTTTTAATACAAAATTGACATTATTCAAAATGTCTTTGTTATGACAACTTGACATTAACCAAGAAATCATTACTGATATAAATTTGTTATAAAAGAATTACTGATTGCACTTTAAAAATTAGGTAACTTTATGTTATTAAAGGTAAAGTTTAAACAGTAACAGTCTTATTCACCCCCCTTCAAATAAAGTGTTACCGAACAATGTGTTTACCTTAAGAAAAACAGCAGTTTTTAGTTGAATATTTAAGTCGCTGTGTAAACGGCCGAATTCAGTCATTTACAATTTCTTCAACTTGATCATGGAAATAAGAAAAAACTGTTGTGCTGTTTTTCTGCTATTCAAGCATGTTTCATATCGAGACAAACAGATATTTTTGCTTTGCGCCTGAGAGCGATAACCAAGGCTAGCATACAGCAGCAACCATATGCAGCCAATCTGGCTTTGCTCTGGGTGGAAGAGCTGGGGAAGGACACCCGATCCTCGACACACTTCAGAGTAGTGGACGGTTGAAAGTTGGTAGTGAGAACAAGTGGGACAGAGGTCATCAGAGGTTTCCTGCAGTTCAATAGAGTCTGTTAGCAGCAGCTGCTGCTGCTGCAGCATGGAAGCAGGCCGGCTTCCTTATCAACTCTGAGATAATATGGAAAGCAGCGAAAAACGGTTCAAACACCTGTCAACCACTGCAAACTCCGCAACGCTTCCTTCCAGTGTAACTGCAGGAAATCACACTCACTAAACTGTAACCAAACTCCTACACGGTTCGGTTTACAGTAAACTTCTAGAAGATTACTGGGATTACTCAATATAAAAATGTAGTAATGTATATTTTTTTAGTGGTAAAAAAAAAACCCAGATCCACTCCATCAGAAAAACAAACGGAACAAAGAGATTGTTCAGGATCTCATTATTGATAACAGTAGAGCAGAATTGGGCAGATGGTACACAGTGAGAAGGATAGTCACAATCACATCTGGCCACCATCTGCCTTGAAATGTTGCTCAGGAGTCATATCTCTGTGACTGGAAGAAGACAGATGAAGACAAATGGCTCCTTAGAACCATGGCTGAATGATTCAAGTAGCTTCCCCAATCCAAAACTGAAGAGCACCTCAAACAAACGACGTCCATGAGGTATTTTTAACGGTATTTTTTTTTAAACATAGAAGATGAGAAGTTTGTCAAATTTGCTAACCAAGTAACAGTATCTGTGTTTTCAATAGTGCAATTGATAAGGACAGCTTGAATGCATTATTTGGTAGGTTATTAGATGTCAAGTGTCACACATTTGCGCTCTGCATGTTAATAATGTATTTGGTGCATTGGACAGACTTTAACTGGTGGAAGCATTGTGAAAAGGTGAAATTTGGGTAAGCCAACAGATTTAGCTTGATAATAAATTGTCAAGCTAATATAACAGCAGGTCAAAGCTTTTAGGATACAAATACTAAGTTGGACACACTGTTGTTTTGTTATTATTATTCTGTTGGGGGAGGGGGGGGGTAAATTGAAACAAAGTGTATATTTTGAGATGTAGTGGGCTCTATTCCGTTTTGTGAAGGAGCGTTAATGGCTGCATTAGTAAATATGACTGAGGATAAAGATCATGTTTATATCTGGTCACTTGTATTTGTACAGCGTAATAATCTCAAACTGGCTCGTGTTAAGGCAGAAAATGTCGTTAACTTCCAATTAAAAGTGTTGCTCAGACAAAAGAGGATTTTCAAGAGTCTACATCAGGGGTGTCCAAAGTCGGTCCTGAGCTTCAGGAAACATGCCGGCATCCTGCATGTTTTAGTTCTCTCCCTGGTGGTACTAACAACCTTTTCAGCATGTCAATGTTCCTCTTAGGCCTTCTAACGAGCCATCATTTGATCCAGGTGTGTTAACAGAGACTAAATCTTTTTGAAGGAGCTTATTCACTCAAAAGCATAATCAAATGGTAAGCAGGGGGGCTCTGGAGCGTTCGTCATAACAACTTCTGCGTTCGATTATACGGCTGCGACAGGGAGCAATATTGCCAGGCGGCTCTATAGCTGGCGGGGTGAAGAGTTGAGCCTCGGTAAATGAGTTGTTTAGAAGAGCGCGTAACAATAGACCCTGTAGAGCTGCAACAATCGACACCATCTGTGTTTCGCCAGGCGTCTGCTGAGGGATTTTTCTGCTTGTCTGATCCGAAAACAGGCTTGTTGTGTTACGAGGTCTCAGCGAATATCTGCATCTGCATTACGTAAGCACATGTAGGAATGCTGCTGAATTCGACACCTTGCTCTTAACAAGCGGCCGGAGATGACCGAGAGACCAATGAAAGGAGAGAACTGTGGTCACCCGAAACACCATTTCACACACGCAGGATGGAACGTGCGAGGTGTCAGGTTGGAACGACCCCGCTGATGCTGTTTTGTGACAAAAATATAACTAGGGACGGCTCAAATAACACGTACACTTTATTTCAACAAAGAACAACACACTAACTTCAGCAGCCTAATTATGGGATCGACAGGCCCAGTACCAGTAAGTTAACTTGGGCTTTAATCAGCCATTTAGGGAATCTGACAGATGGTCTTATTAAATAAATAAGCATGTTATCCAAGCACAGTCTTCATTATCTATAATAAGCTGAACTGAAGATCTGATTTGGTTTTCTTACAGCGCCATATGGATTTATATTAAAATCAGATCAAAGTTTGCTCTTTGTGTTATATTTTTAGCATGAATTTGATTTTAATTCACTGGATGCCAGTAGAGGAAGTCTACCAAAGCTTTATATGATTTATTAGCACAACACTTTCTTTATGTTTGAACTAATAACAGTCAAACAACCGCATGCCTGCTCTGCATTTAGCATGACGGGAAGCTACAAAAACTGGATAAGCTATCAAATGTTTTGTCTGGAATCATGTGCTTTCACCACATCAAATTATGGCTTGGATTATGTTCAGTTTAACTCCTTTTTGCTAAAGGGATTGCTTGTTAACTCCCTTTCACCCAACAGCTGACATAAACAACTGCTAATAACTGAAGTTTGCAGTTTGTGGTTTAGGTTTAGCCGATATAGAATTCCCAACAAAGTTGGAAAAGCTCTGGATTACATGATGGTTCAGGTTCCCGCAGCGTTTCAAACAAACTAGCTAAACTGGCTCCGACTGTTCTGCTTCTGAACAACGGACCGGCTGTGTTGACGCTCAGGGCTACGTGAAGCACCCAATTGAGATGGAGCAACAGAAGAGAAAATAAACATCTCCAAGTGAAAGGATATTAAGTCAGAGGTTGAGCAATGCAGAAACAAGCCAAGTGATATCTATTTTGAAGAAACTGACACACACACACACACACACACACACACACACACACACACAGGCAAATGGAGTTTCCTCAGATACAACAATGCCTTCACTTCCTGTGTAAAACTGTGCCCCCAAGTCTTATTGAAGTCAGTGTTTCCGTCATCACTGTGAAGGGATTGTTTGTTGATATCAGTTCCATACGTGGACGGCGTTAAATCTTTGCTTTATGCTTTTGTATTTCATGATTCTCGGGAGGACAAATTGTTAAAAGTTAAAAGCTGCTTCCAGATAATCTGACTAAACAGTAAGCCAGCAGCGAACATCCTTGCAGGCAAGTCTCGACAGCTCTCTTCCGTGCAAACATCCAAACAACGACCAGGAGGCCGTGGGCGGAAATGAATACAAAGGTCATGCAGCGTCGCGCTGTATCCCGTCTGATTTCTACTGCGACTATACCATCTCTTAATTATTTTATCCATATTATATATCAATTGATCTCCGGTAAATGTAGTTTTAATGCTCTATGAGTGGCTACAAGTACTCAAATAATTATCAGCAGCAAAAAACTTTTCAGACAAAAAATAAATTAAACAAAGAATAAAAATCCTGTATTGGCCAATATCAGAATCGGCATGTCAGGCTTTTTAAAGATCAGCGATCGGGCACCGGTATGTTCCCAACTCCACAAAGCAGACGCTAGCTGTATTCGCAGATGTTTTTTGTCGTTCAGGCTGTGGATTCACTGTCTTGGGAAATCAGAAAGAGTCATTACTGAAACCGGGTTCCAAAGTGGATACATTTCAGGACGCCGGTTTCATGTTTCCGTCTGAGTATGACAGTCACGTCTTTTATTAAACAACGGCGTCAGCATCGCTGTTCTGTTTTTGCGTTGCTCTATTTCAGTGTTACAGCGCCACCGATTGGCCCGGCAGACCCAACATTTTCTGTCAAAAGTTCACCAGAAAACTTCTTTGAAAATACACATCTCTGTGCAACAAATGCTTAATAAATTTATCTTTCAACATCTACAACGAAGGATACTGTGAACGCTGTCTGTTACATGACAGAATCCATTAACTCTGTGCCAAAATGAAGCAGAATTATCTGAGAAAAACACTGATGAGTCCACGTTTCTGCATTCATTCCTTAGCAATTACGACTCCAAGTCCTGCTGCGGCTGCACAGATCAGTGCTGTGAACTTTATTACCGCTGTATTCCAACAACACGAGGCAACAGATGAAAACGCTGCTAAAACTGCAATTGGGGAAATAACAGTTGTGGGATGGGAAAGGTTTCTCACAGAGTGCATCTGTCTGTGTGAGAAAAACAATGAACATTGCCAACTTGGCAGTCCATTTCAACACGCGATTACACGCAAAGAAAAGCCATTAAGTCTACATGAGCAATCAGCAAACACACGGTTCGGCCTTTGTTGTCACTCACTCACGCTAAAAAGTTGCCAGAAGAAATGTGGCAGCCTCTTGTTTCAGTAACGAAATGCAGAGCTCCATCAGAAACATGCGCTCGTCTGCAAAAACCCCCCCCAGACTACTGCTCGTTGGTCATTACGAAGGCTGTGTTCAATGATCAGGATTTTTGAGTTTCTCACCTGATAAAACTACAAACCGGAATGATTCCTTGGTGCAACTGCAGGAAAATACAACAGCGACAGCCATCAAAAACCGCCAGCTGCCAAGGTAACAGTTGTGAGACCGTGTGAAACTGAAACATTAACATACGGCGAATGACATACGGATTTTTTCTTCACGCCGGCTTTTGACATAACTCACTCGTATAGAGTTATTTAGGTTGCTGGCATCTCTCTAGCGTATGCAACGGTTACTATTCTTGTCGCCCGTACGATGATTAATGAGCGTGCAAACGTTCAACTGACAACATTTTACTGCGCCGTGAACAACAGTTCCTCGGTACCCACACACCGTCTCCCTCCACCGTGACGGGCCACGCGGCCGCTTCGGCTGCGGAGGGGAGAATGACGGGAACTCTGTCAGCATCTGGAACGGCACGCTAACAAGTAGCCGATAGTCATATTGTGCACAGAAAAACAAAAAGCCTTTGTGTGTGTATGAGATGAGCACCAGATGAGGGGTACCCGTCCCCTTCTGATTCCCCATTCTTCTTCAAATAGGCCACTCAGTAATTAAAAGATGAAAAAAAAAAAGAACTTCAAACACACACTTGAGCTGGAGTGGCACATCAAACAGGAGGGGGGATCATTGTAGTTTGCCATAATAAATGCTTTGGTCATAAAAAGCTTTTATTCTTATATAAGGTTTATAAATTGTTCATGGAGAGAGGATAACACTTGTTTATGGAAAATCTGTTTGGGAGATAAAGATGGAAGCAGTGTGAAGTTGAAAGGCTTGGAGAAAGAGTTCTTCTAATCTGGATATTCCTCCGAATGCTACAGAGCTGCAGCAGGTAAAACCATGTGGGATGTAGCTAAAATTCACTCCAAAAAAAATGCTTATAGGTGCCTATTTTAATAGTTGCGCGAGGTATTTCGTCTTCCCAAGCTACATTTCCGCATTAAATTATTCCTGGCAAATTTTCCGGGAATAATTTAATGCGGCGTTCCACAAAAAGCAATCCAGGAAAAGGTGAATAGGAAAGTGTCCACTGTGTATGTGTACAAGATAAAACTTTAAACTTTTACGTTGACTAAACCTATCACAACTTATTGTGTGATGAATTAAAATGAGCACAATAATTTCCACTCGGGCAGCAGTCGTTACAGAGATGCTTCCCTTTAACATCGTTGAAAAGCCGGCGTTTCGGAGAAAACGCTGCCAACATTTGACACAGGACTTCATTTGCGCTACCTGCCACTTTGACACTCTGACATTTCACAGGCTAAAGTTTTATTACCTCATTTCTGCCGTGACATATTCACACTTTTAAAATCATTAAAGTTGAGAACAGGTGTCTGGCTTGTAAATGCACCATTAATTCCTATGGGAAAAGACAGATAATTCATCACCACCAAGTTCGGTTGTAAAAGTAAATGACTCTTGGGTCCACAAATATAAAAAGTTGTTTGCTCCCCACAAACAAGCAATGCACTTCCTCTTTTCCAGTTGCTTTTCTTACCTTCGATGCTGAGTTCAAAGCAGACGTGGCAGAAGGACAGGGTCCCCGTTTCAGTCTCTAATTTGCAGACGCTGCAGATATTGTCGTCGTTCAGATCGATGTTCACAAACTGCTCCTCTTCATCCATTGCGCCTCTTCTGAAACACAACCATTAAAAGATGGTGATAGCATCCCCAATTGATTAAAGTCGTCAACAGCTTCTACTTTGTCTCAATTTACAAAACAATGCAGCAAAGACACAGTCTTTCACACGGCGATACAATACAAAGGATGCCAATTATCAACCGGGTTCAAAAGTCTGTGTTGAGTAATCTTATCATGTATGGACAGTTTGAACGCACTCAGGACACAATGAGGATGGTTTCCATTATACTGAAGAGCCACAGACCAAAAAAAAAGCCCTCCCTAGTCAATGACTGTGTTTGTTTTATCTAAAAAATAAAACAAAAAAGTGTGATTCAAATGTTAGCATTCATAAACATCAAGCTGGAGAGTTATGGAATCGTTAGGACATTGAAATTTGTGTTTTTAATGAGCATCCCCAACCAACTACTGCTCAGTTGAACTCAAACTAACCAATCACACCGACCCTTAACTGACAAAGTCACTAGTATTAAGGTGAGTTTTAAATCCAGTGAAGTAGCTCAACTTATTTCATCGTACAACAGAGAATAAATGAAGGTAGCCTGTTGCTTTAAATGAAAAATAAGCAATTCATATTCTTGGAAATAAAAAAGAGAAATATCCACTGACGGTCAGAAAAATTAACTTCGTTGTCTAAATTGGGGAATTTTTAGTCAGTAAAAACATCACAGACCAATTATGATCCAAAACTCTACATTACAGAGAGTTTGCATAATGCTGTCTGTAATCAATTTTTGATTGAGTCTGAATCCAAATTAAAATGTAAACGCAACCGAAGCACCCCTTGTTATAAACTAGACGTGAAAACAAATTAGCTTATGGCATCACCATAACAGTCTAACTCAACAGAGCGTCACATATTTTGCTTCCATTTTCTCTTCAGAGGTAGAAATAATGTCCCTGGTTCTTCTAGACCGGTTCAGCTCACGGTAAACAGTTTCAAGTCGTATCGAAAGCTCCGTTTCGCTTTGTTCTTTCGACAACACACCGTCAAAAATAATGTATACATTATGAACAGAGCCCCTAGTATCCCAAACCGAGCATGCAAAATTACAGGTGAAACCATAGGACATGGTTACCGACACTATAACAACAAAGAGACTCGGTTATTTGATAAACTTTCCACCACGTCGGTGGTACATGTATGACCTTCAGAACCAGTTTCCCACCCCCTAACTGGTCGATACTTTAAATGTCTAAAAGCACACGGACTATAAACCTGACACTTTACAGTTTAGAGGAACCGAGTGTCCCACACAATGTTACACCTCAGAGCGTTAAAATAAACGAGTGCTAACAAGAAGTTATGCTAACAGCACACTCGCATCCTCCGAGCACTCAGTCTGCTTCGTGACCGTTATTCTGCGGAGCTAAACAGAAAGGGCTTGAGGAAAAGACGGATTTTATTTCCCAGTGTTGAACACACCACGTCTGGCAAACTTACCTCTCAACCGACGGCTCTTTTCGGACAGCTTTTCGCTTTGAGCGGACACCTCGGTAGTTCACGGTCTCAGAGGGCTCTCAGACATTAAACAAGACTGCGCGTCACGGTAAATCCAAGGAAGCCACAGGAACCTCTGTAGCCTCTAAGCGGAAAGAACCACTTCTCGGAGTGAGGGGACTGGAAAGTAATTATACTTTTAAATATATGACATTTTGCCGGCAACATAAATATCCGAACAACAAAATGATATTTAACAGACTTTACTCACAAAATATCCCTCTTCCAATGCAGAACTTTATTAAATAAACAGCCCAAAGACAACAATGGCCGCCAGCGCACCCCTCCGATTTAAACAAGTATTTTCTTCCACGCGTCACCAAAACACGCGCATGTTTGGAAAGAACCAAATAAAAAAAAAAGTCACAAAATATGGGAAACAATTTCTCGTTTAGAAATATACAACATCAAATATTAATATCTTTACCTCGAGCAAATCTTTCGTTTTTACTACTTTCTGTTGACATTCACGGGAACATGGCAGGGCACGACGCGGGGAACTGCCGCGAAACACCCAGAGCTACAGTCATTATTATAAAGGATTAAGTGATTTAAGTGTAGCACGGCGGCTGCAAATCACTTTCACCCCACATGTCTGGAAAGCGACAACACAAAAGACCCTCTCTCCCCCAAAACGCGAAACAGAAACAACTGTTAAGCAGTAATAAAAAAAAAATTAAATTATTACATATAATTTTTTATTTTATTTCCGAGCTATTATTTTTTACATTAAAAATGATATCACGTTAAATAACACAGTTATTGTTTTTGCAACATTTTGAAGTTTATGTCTCTTCAGGTTCCGGTCATAATATTTTGCATTTTGATAATATATTTGGCTTGTTGGCTGGACTGTCCTTCTCCTTAAACTGATGGTTATCTTCTGTGGCATATAACTCATGAAAAGTGTTTAATGACATGACTAATTTTAGAGACTTAGTTAATAATAATTTTATTTGTTTACTTGCTGATATTTTCTTTAAAATTCGCATTTGTAAACTTTTCCTTTGAGACCTTTCTCATTTTTTGTCACAACCAGGATGTCATAAAACCACAGGTTTTAATATTTCTCAGCACACTGCTTAATGTATTATTTTAAAGTTAAAAGAGTTCAAGCCAACAAGAGTTGCAACTTTCTTCCTTAGCCAACAGGAGAGCGTTAATCGGAGATGCACCAGTGGTAACTCTGGAGGAGCTCCAGAGATTCACATCAGTGGGAGAATCTATTGGCAGAAAACCTAATAGTTGCATACAAGCCACGTAGGAGACAGAGCAATCTTGGAAGAAGACACTCCAGTCAGATCACACCTGAACACAACATCTCCACTGTGACAAATGATGATAGCATCATGCTGTTGGGATACTTTTCTTGAACAGGAACAGAAATGCTGGTATGAGCTGACAGGATGATGGATGGAGCTAAATCAATACTAGAAGAAAACTTGTTTAAGGTGTTAAAAGACTTGAGACTGGGGTGGAAATTCACCCGTATGCAAGATGACTAACCTAAACATAAACTCAGAGTAATGTAGGTCAGTGCACAACCTGCATGTGCTAGAACGGCCCAGTCAAAGTAAATACCTAAATCTAATGGAGATTTTATGGCAAGACTTAATTACCGAAGTGGATGGATTTTAGTGTCTGGATGGTCAAAGCTGCCACATAATCACCTAGATTTGCAAATGTACTTGCAGTGAAAAGTGGTTTTGCAAAATTAAATAAATAAATGAATAAATAAATAAATATCATAATACAAGTGGCACATTTTGGTATGTTTATCAGTGAAAGAAAAATAATCAAAAAGTATCAATCATTTTCTTGCTACTTCAAGTTTGTGGATGTAATGTAATGTGATGAAATGTGAAAAATATACAGGAGCTATGAATATTTTACACTCTTAACGCCTATTTATAAAGTAGCTCAAGTACTTAAAGACCATCAAAACCTTGCAGACCAGTTCAGTTTTTCTTACATGTATACTCTAAACCCTCTGTAATGCCAGCTGCTCCAGGGTCGTGTCAGTGATACTTTAGGCTCATTTGGCCCTGCATTCAGCATCTGCTCCTGTATCTGGGAATATACAAAAGAACATGGCTACAACAAAATGAGCTGTCTTCATTTTTTAAAATTAGTTTCAGACAGTTTTCTGGAATTCTGAGCTCATGTAGGGAGGCTACAGACAACAGCTTTCATTCTTCTTTCCTGTTTTATCTCATTTAATGATAGAAAAATCTAAATGTTTCACAACAGCAAACAAATCAAATCAATTTTCAATGGATAATCGTTGAAGCCTGTGATTGAGCTAGACCAGGGGTCCTCTCCAGAGAACAAGTGGCTCTTTGGACCCTTCACAATGGCTCCAAATAACTTTGACAGAAAGTGATCAGCGTTTTAGACGTAGCAAAAAATTCTTAGCATAAGATTAGAAATTGTGTTCCCCACCTCCACTCCTCTTCATTTTCCACAAATAGCTACACTCCATACAAGGAAATTGATCCGCATAAAAGTTATATATATTTTTTTATTATTTTAAAACCTACAAAAAGAAATAAAATGGCGACCCTTTACAAATGATGCATTTCCTCATTTTGTAGCTGGATAGTTGAGTTCTCTTTTCTCAACAAGTCACGTAACTTTTGCAACTCTAAGGTGGTTCATTTATTTATTTTTGATTTGTTTAATTTCCCTCTGGGATTAATAAAGTACTTTTGAAATGAATTTAGCTGGACAAAAATAGTTCATACGCTGGGATTGTAAATATTTCAGTAGTATTTCAGACCCCTGATCCGGACGGCGCGAGAATGTGACCGAGTGACCGTATGACTCAGGCGCCCCCTCCTGGAGAAACTTGAGTAATTCAAGCAAAACTAAAACTGGGCTCAGTTCCACTTAAGATGCAAGAAGGGACCTGAATTGACATAACTCTGCTACGTAAGGTTTTGTCTTGAGAACGGAGGAGATTTGGAGCTAACAAGTGAAGTTCTGGAAAAATTGTTTGGGGGAAAAACTAAAAATGGTTTTAGATTAAACCATTCCAGTCAAGGTTTTTATTTTTTATTTATTTATTTATTTATTTATTTTTTTTTTGTAAAAAGCACAATTCAACATCTGCTTCTCTTCAAGTGGTAAATGACAACACAGATGCTAAAACATTGCGCAGCTTTTTTTAATTGACCCATCTAAAGCTTTTGATACGGTTGAAACTGTACCTCTTCTTCAAGTTGTAGCTGGTTCTCACACTATTTACACAGCAGAACACACTGTGTCCAGCCTGCGGGGTCTTTTTCCTCCCTCCTTGCTGTTTCACAGGGAGTGCCTCAAGGCTCAAGTAAGGAGTGCCACACGGCTCCTTACTCAGGCCATTGTTGTTCATAATTTATGTCAACAGCCTGTGACAAATTGCCTGATGCTAAATCCCATCTTTATGCCGATGATGCGGTTATTTATTATTCATCTTCTTCAGTTTCTCAATCATTTAAACTTTTTTGTAATATGCATTTGTTCAGTGCTGTCTGATGAGGCTTAAGCTGGTTTTTAACGCAGATAAATCAAAAGCACTGTGGAACAGCGCCCACTACTCCTCCCCAGCCTGCTAACTCTTCCAAAGTTTGAAACTGTATTTGTCAGATATTTAGGTATTCTGATTAATAAATCTTATTGTCAAACTCATTTCTAAGCTAAAACTTAAATTGGGTTATTATTAATTATTTAGATCTGCTATTCATGAACTCTTCAGTCCAGCATTTGGAAAAACAATTAAAAAATCTGATACATTATATGACTGTTTTTTTTTTTCAAATATATCATTGCTCACAGCATGCTACATGCTACGACAAAATGTCCGTCTTTCACTGAACTCAGACCCTCACTGGCTGGTCTATATCTACAAAGGCACTCTTGGGCTTCTTCCTACACATTATTCTTGCTTCTGTGTAGAAACTTTAGTCTTTATGGTCTGCGCTCTTGCAAGCCCCAAAAAATTTACAACTGAACTGGAGAAAGTGGGCTTTAAAATATCGCCTATAACTTTGGGGCAATTCAAGTGAATTGTAAAGAATGGCTCATTTTGCTCCCGTAACTTATCAGCTGCAACTCATAAGCATGAAACCTTATTGTGTCTCTTGTTTGTATTTGGTCTTTTTGCATGTTTTCTGCTGCCATCTTGACCAGGTCACTCTTGGGAAAGAGGTTTTATTCTCAATGAGTTTTTGGATATAACACATCTGAAGGCAAGTGCAGCAGTTTTTGGCAATTAGGGAACAAAGTCTCATGAAGACCAACATATTGCAATCAGCGGGTCATGGAGGAAGTCATGGAGAAGTCTGTAGCATAGTTAGGTTAGGAAATCATATCAGAAGACATCCAAATGTGAAACCGGTACAGCAACTGTACTCTTACCAGGACATGACCTTCCATCTGAACTGGCAGGCCAGGCAAGGAGACTATTAATAAAAGAATCAGCCCAGACAACAACAGGGACAACTATTAATCATGCACTTGATGACTGAGGAAGACCAAATTACAGTAGAGGACAAAGCAAACACTGAAGAAGGTGCTGCTCTGTTACATCAGACCAAAATCACAGCTGTTAGGGCTACATGCATAGTTTGAATCAATGCGTTGGAACGGCGTAGTCAAAGTTTCAACCTAAACTCAATCTCAATCGAGAATGTTGCTCTGTAACATAAATCCCAATAAAGCACGTTTGTTTTTCGGGATACGAATACGTTGGCAGGGACCTCCATTAGTCACACACTCGCGCGGATTTATGTGTCGTTTGCAGGGACACGTGACGACTCTTTGTGAGCCGGTCTCATAAGAACAAGTCTGCGAATCAGACTTGGTGATCGCAAACGCGTCCGTTCGCCTCATCAGCTTGCAACAAATATTGCCAAGACTGATGTCACGATGCAAACACATCCTGACACGTCTCTCTGGGCTCCTCCAAGAACAAACAGGAGGGCCACATGTTGACGCGGTGGCAGAGCGCCGGTTACCGTGCAACAACACCGGGCCCATTTTCTGCCTCACAGATGCTTTTTTCCCCCCCGCCCCTCCACAGATGTTGGACTTTAACATGTC